GGGGGGGGGGGGTTGTGGTAGCTGTTCAGACAGGTGAAAACATGGAGATGATGCATCAAGTTATCTGCTGGCCTAAAAATACAAGTCACGACAACACTCTGGAATAAGTCAGTTACATAACTAACTTGTGACATGACAGGAGCGCTACAGGAATAGATGTCCATTAAAATTGAAACCTTGTATATGTTCTGAACTTCATCTCTCTCACCTGTTGTGCCACCTCCAGGCATAGAGTCAGCAGAGATGATTCCTGGGTAGCGGAGACAGCGGAAGTCAAGGCCGTAGCGGTGGTGGTAGTACTGCCGAAGAACAGAGAGGAAGCAGTTATTGTCAACATGTTAAATTAAAAACAATTTCAGAAAACAGAAAATGTTCAATTGCACATCCAGAGGAGTGTTTTGGAGTGATTAAAGAAATCTAACCTCTCCCATCAGCTCAGCGTGGACTTTGGAGACACCATAGATGGTGCGAGGTCTCTGCACACAGAGATCTGGCGTAGGGTTGCGGGGAGAAGTGGGACCGAAGGCGCCGATGGTGCTGGGGACAAACAGGCGTAAGCCGTGCTCCGCTGCAATGTCCAAGATGTTGTGTAGCCCTAAAGAAACAGACAAAGAAACATACCATGAGGACACCACACATCACCTTTTGTAAGACAAAAGTATCTTTAGAGCCGATACGATGAGAAATGAGCAAGTCATTAAAACTGCTTACCGGTGATGTTAACAGAGCGTGCCAGGGCCACGTTCGCCTCTCCAACAGCACTGAGGAGGGCGCTGTAGTGAACCAGCCATGTGATGCGGTTGTTCACCACAATTTCCCGCAGGTTCTTGTAGTCCAGGATGTCTGAGTAGATGAAGGGGCCTGAGGGTGACAGAGGTGATTTTATGAATCAACTGTTGTATAAAGTGCTTATTCATAATTTTATTGTATTTTTTCTTGTTCATCTGCAGTGACTGCTTGTGTTTCAGGGCCAATACCTAGCTTGTAACAGACTTTCTTAAAAGCAATTCCTCACATGTCCTTGAATTTAAAAAGGCCTGTTCAATTTAGTTTACAACTCAAAGCTGTTTACTGCTACATTCATTACATCTTTGGACAGCTCATTACAGCACAATTCCCCATGTGTCACCATATTGATTTTGGAGTAATTTATCAACAGCATTTCAGGAAAACATGACTTCCTCGTGAGCGCAAATGAATGAAAGTCAATAAGATTTATTTGCCAATGCTGTCATACTGTTATTTGGCATTAAAGCAACGGAACATTTGTAACACATTAACAACCGTCATTGCTAAATGCCTGAATTTTCTGGGTATAAGTCACAGCTCACCAGTACAAACTGGGCTATGTGCTACAGAGATTGCACTCTGATGACAGATATAGCTTTTGCTCCTTGAGGCTGAATACACTTTGGACAAAAGCATTTGCCAAATGAATGTCACATAATCCCCACTCCTGCAACCTGGCCTGTCCTGAAAGTAAAAATCAAACACTGTAAGAAGTTGTCTCAGTGCAGTATATGAGTTTACTTACCACTGTGGAAAACATTGCTTGGAGGTTTCCTGATGTCAGACAAGATGACGTTGTTCTTGCCAAACCTCTTCCTGTAAAGCAGAAGGCAAATGTTACACCAATTGAAAAAGCCCCAGACTCCGTAAACGATAATAATAATATTGTGTGTAATATTGTGCACAGACGCTTTAAAAATCTTACCTTAGGAGTTTGGCGAGCCCCACCCCGAGCTGACCCAGGCCTCCTGCATTACAGGGAGAGAGACAGAAACACTGGGTGTCATCTGAGGGACTGCATACATTAAAACAGCAGCTACTAATCATCAGTCCCAGTTTCCATGGAGACTTGAGTAAAGGAGCGCAGGCCATAAGAAGGAGGTCAGCCCACACTTTGTTTTTAACTGTTATTATTGCAAAACTTGTTAGTAGCTCTTGAGTCCCTGCAGAGCACATTCTGTATCAGCTCACAACTTATATTCATGATCCTCATCTTAACTACAGTGCCTGATAAAAAGGACTCTGCTGCGTACCTGTAATGAGCACCTTGGGGTGGTCCGTTTCTGAGAAGGACACAGAGTGGAAGCTGGCGTCAGACGTCACCTGCCGAGGGGAGAAGCTGATGTTGCGCACAGCCACCGTAAGGGGCTGGCAGCCGCACCCCGGGGTGCTGAGCAAGGCCTGCTTGGCCACCTTGCTGAGGAGGGTTCTGATAACAGGCATGCTGATACCTGCGGAGGGAAAAAAAATGTGTTCACGCTTTTGGGTGACATTTGGTTGTCAAATTCCACAGACATCAGCAAGTTCAAGTGTTTTTTTTTTTTTTTCTTCTTAAGAATTCTGCTTATTTTATGTAAATCTATTGATTCACTTTAGATCTGGACATTTAATATATTTGGATATATTTGACTGCCATCATCTGCTGGCCTCTGTTAATATTTTTTTTTTTGGCCAAAGCATGAAGTTCTGTGTCAAGAGATTTGGGCTCCTCTCCAGACCTCAGGCGCCAAGAGGCAGACAGAGAACTCGACGCAAAAACCTGCAACTGCGGGGGGAAGCGCTTCAATTCACAACTCTTTCAAATGTATCTGCGGCAAAATGCTGAGACCCGCAACAAATCTACAGAACAAAGAAAAACGGTCCCGAGATGCAGAGAATACACCAGCAGGGGAAGACACGTAGGCTACACTCAAATGCAAATGACAGGCTATTGTCTCCAAAGAGGCGCAAAGGAGCGCCAGAGCGCATAGCAACTCCAAACATTTTATCAACTACCTCTTCACTCAGTCTGTTGACTTTTACAAAACTTTAAAATGGGACTTCACTGTGGATAAATAATCCAACATGCATTGGAGTTTTAGGAGCGCGCACGGCTACAGAACACATTAAATCATTAAATGAGAACACAGAACGCAGCTGTCAACTGTGTCCCATATTTTAAAACTGGATAAGTGGGTTTAATTTAACGAAAAGCGGCCCCGAGTTTGCCCGACATTTCTGAACTTATTCCATCCCTGAGCCGCCTCCACTTTTTGCTTAACGCATCATTTTAAAGGTGAACTTACCGAGGGAGCTGCGAGCTTCCAAAAAAGGAAGGAAGAGAGTAACTTGAGAGTATTTATACTGCCCTGCCTTTAACGAGAGCCAATCAGAGAGAGAGGGCGTACAGTAGCAGACGGAAACAGTGCCAAGATCAGGGCCACAATCACCGGGCCAGGATTTGGAAATATTTTTGGAACGTTTTAGGAATCAGGGACCTTTCATCTTTAACACCTTATTGGGAGGAAATCTCATGTGGAGAATATATCATATAATATACAAGCCCTTTATGACTAATATTCTGATTATTGGGGAGATCATATATAGTATCAACAGTAAAAGTTAATGTTGTAGATCATTTTGCGCGAAAAAGCCGTTCCTGGCTCCTTTCCTGACCCTTTTGCCATCCTCACATGTGCCGCTCACTGTTGTGCCAACATCATCATGTAAGCCAGTTGTGTAACAGGGTGGGTGCTCAGAGCAGTGCCTCCTTTAGGACCTGATGCGGCGCGCCACGTTGGGTCTGGGCAATGTCTGTAGTTAATAATAGAAGGTTCCTGAGCCCCATTTAGTGTGGATGCTGTCCACGTGGACTAAAGTGATGGAGAGCAGTCAGAGGAACAACCAGCATATTATTTTAGATATACACTGTTTTTTGTTTTTTTTTTAAAGAATGGGGGTCTCTGAGAAGCCAGACAAATGAAACCAGGCCAGTGCGCATGAGTGAAGCTGTCATGGCACACTGCCTGAGCTCAACCCGTCACTGTTAGCTGGCAACCTGATGTCTGATTTAATTAAGAAGGGCTGCTTGGTTGCTTTGGCCAACAAAAAAAAATAAAAAATAGACAGGCAGCTCCACATGATCACACAAACTGTGAAATATTAGTTAAACATATTATAAAAATCTTAAAATGAATAAAGGAAGCAGATGGTCGCAGCAGGCAAATTAAATAGACTTACAGCATTACACATATTGATAAATCAATTTAAAACGTTCATTTAAAAACACATTTAGTCTCTCCACATGAGCACAAATACAGGAAGCAGTGGACTCACCGGTTAATGTACAGGGTATAAGCAACTCCTGCCTGACTCGCTTTATGAGAATGAGACGCTGCTTCCTCTCTGAGCTGATCCTGCGGCTACAGTGCTCCGACGCGATGTCTGTGTTATCTCCGTCCAGTGTTGCATCAGCTGCGTCTTCAAGCTATATATCAGCGGCCATCTGGTTTGAGAGGAAGCCGGCTTTCTCTCGGATTGGTGGAGCCTCGGAGGTGCGGTCCTCCCTCGCAGACCACTCCCACAGCGCGTCACAGACACCCAGAGCCCCCGCCGCCAGATCCCGTTATGCGGTCCATTCACTGCGGGTCCAGCTCCGAGGGGCCACGAGTACAGGTTGGCTCCGATAAAAATGATTCCTTCTTCCTTCGATTAATACTGGGTGTATAGTGATGGAGCCTTATGGTTTATGTAGGAGAAGAAGGGGATCATCTAACTGCAATATTGCTGACTATCTTAGATCTGCCAATTACATTTTCGCTTATGATCATATGTTAGAATAAAATGTCAGAAAATAGCAAAGAAGTGCCCATCACAATTTCCCAAAGCCCAGATTTACTTATGATTTTAGATTTTAAATTGCTTGTTTGGTTAAAGCAACCTGAAATACGCTTAAATATATAGTTTATTATCATCTAAATTATTAGTTTCCTTAACTAAAGTATTGTCCTTTTCCACTTTACTAGCTTTAAGTTTGGAAAAAATCATCTAGTTCCAAACTGTGTATCTTAAAGCTGTAAGATGTTTACACTTCAAACCTATGACTCCATATTTTTCTGGCTGATCCATTTCATCATATAGTCTATATGATGCTTAAGACCACCTGGTCTTTAGCATAATTTTATACATGCTCCCACTAAAGCCTGGCATACTTGTTGTCTCCGGATACTTTGGGATTTTGAATTCAAAACAAAAGTTTTGTGGGTTTGAACATTCGGCCAATGTAAGGACATTGTCAACAAGTGGGGTCAAATGAGCTTGAGAGTCTATACAAATACTGTGACAAGTCAATGAGTAATTTTAACGTAGCTGGACTATACATGAAGCAAAACAAAGGACAAACCTGATGTGTCCTTGTAATCAAACACTTCTAAAGATGAGCAAATTATATTGTTTTAAAGGGCACTTAAAACCAAATCGTTGCAGGTTTTTGTGACCTGGCATTAAAAGGGATTGGTGAAACTCTACAGCTTTTGATCTGAATGTAACAGAATTCATTCATGTTTATCTAGAGAAAGGTATGATATGAATCTGCACGCACCCTCTGTTTGACTTTGAGGTCTGTTTGCAGTAGATAGAGGAGGGCCGAAGAGGGTGACGATGACGATATCTCTGAGGGGAGCGAGCAAAAGGGTGGGCATAAAGATTGGTGCTGAAACGTGAATGGTGGACGGGTGCACACCCCCACGCCTGTCATCACTTGCTTAAAAAGAAGTTCATCTGTAAACTGACACAAAACCTGGATATCAGAAAACTTAGATCGCATCGTTTTAAAAAAATCAGACATCTTGTGCCATATGTGGATGAACTTATATAACCCAAGTCCCCCCACACCTTCATTCCCAGGGAACATGAGAGGAAAATGTAATCTGATAACTGTGTAAAACTATTTTGGTTTACTTTTTCTTTCAGTGTTAGTGTAGTTGTGTAAGCCCAGCTGAGAACATGTGCACCACTGACAAAAAAACCCCCACCATTAATCATTTCTTCAGCTTTTCAATGGACTGCGCTAACCAGTTTTTTCCACCCGAAGTCTGTACGTTAAGTAAATCTTTCAGCCATGAAATCAGAGTAGTGACATACGCAAGGCCACATTAATATTGACAGGAGAGTGATGGCTGGACGATAGCACTGTAAACACTGGCTGCCATCACATGCCTCCATGAAGCAGCTGAGTCCTGGCTATTTATTCCCAGGTCACCTCATCAGATGATCCTTTCGTCACAGGGATGGCAACATTTGTGAGGTGGCGGGGTTGCTGTTAACTAATCCTTGGACGAGCAATACGGGGACAGGGTATGTGGAAACGTGACCATGGCCCCCGACGATGAAATGAGCCATTTTATATATAAAAATATAAATGAGTGCAGCTTTAAAGTTTAGTAATATACTAGTATGAAATGTTAAGACTGGGAAAAAAACGTGGTTACACAAATAGAGAATTAATAATTACAAAATCAAACATCCTTTGTTCTATAATGTTTAATGGCATGAAAACTTAAAAAAACATTTAATCTTCTGAACAATAATATCATTTTACAGACATCTGATCAGCAGTGATAAAAGAGCTGAAATGTTTATTTTGAATTCGGATTTTGCAGTAAGGCATTGCACAAAACTGACGAGTACAACAGACAAAAGCATTATTTGTCCACAGTGCTGATAATCTTTTAGAGTTTTGTTGACTTTGACAAAGCAACCATCGTTTAAGGATACTATTATGTATAATGCAAGCATAGGACATCCGCACACTTGTAAATCACACCATTGCCTCGATTGAACTAATTGTTCCATTCATGCACACACAAAGCAACGGCAGGTAAGGTGTCTTTTTTTGGCAAAAGGAAAATATGTATATAGTGCAGCTATAAGCAACTTTCCCTTTATAAAAGCAGTTTAATGTAGTGGCTGGAATTCAGTTTAGTGTGATTATTACATAATTCTTGAAGCAAAATAGAGTAAATTTATGAAGATGACAAGAGAGAGCAGAGAAAATGCCTTTTCTTACTGGCAAAACAAACAAAACTTGGTCCAGGATGAACACTGGATATAATTTTACCCCCAAAACTGCCAATTTGTATTTAACGTGCAGCATAAAGCTCTCTTATTATAGTTCTATAGTGTAATATTGTGCCAATGGAAGCTGCCGTCACCCATGGACAGCATTGAAAGATGAGCAAAGAGAATTTAGGTGAAGTTGTTTTAACGTGTTGAGCGGCCTCTTTAAGGAGGTTTAAAAGAAACAATATTTTTTGTGGTCTTGGACTTAATATGACAAGTCCTGGGTCAGTGAGAATGCTCCTATGAGACACTGCCTGTGTCATCTGCAGTAAGTCTAATAGTCTGAGTTTACAGTAGCTGATATATTGGCATGTTTTTATGTTTAATATTAAGACATTTATTGACTAATATGGCAACAGCTGATGAGTACTTACAACAAAAATGATACTGATTACAAGAACTACAGGAATACGTTTCTGATATTGTGTATGCCTTTCATACAAAGTGCATTGGTTCTGGATCTTAAACAGCAGATATGAATTTTGTTCAATAAAAGTTCTTGAACACAACAAATATAACTTTAACTACCAAAATATAATTTGGTCTTTAAAGCAATAATCTCACATTAATATAATATTTCCAGTTTTTAAGCAGACAAACCTCCTCGTGTTGAACTCTATAAAGTCTTTATGATAATCATATGACCGAAATGGCCCCCATTACTGTGGCAACAAGACCCTCAGTACCACCATTATTCTACATGATATGCTAAAACATAATTGACTACTTTACTATTATACTTAATGATTTTGATTAAAGTTAATTAAAGATATTGACGAAACACAACCAAATCATGCGCATTAACATTTTAACATTGGAGTTAAACAAGTCTCTCTCAATACCTCTGGCAATGCTACTTACTGGAATGTCAAGTACTGATCTCATAAACATTCAACAATCTGGATATTTTGGTCAGGTTTTCTATTAAACAAGCCTCCCCTCTCATTGTACAGTACAGTAGGTGCTGACCCTACCTACGCTTATTATATCATCTCAACGTGCAGCAAAGTCACATGCTGCCTTATAGCACCCTATATGTTTCCATAGTTACTCCGCAGTGCTTCAGTGGCATATACATTCAGCAGGATGTTTGGTGCCAATGTGTACCCTGTAAGTAAAGGAACATCCGAAGGACCAGTATTCCCTCCTGAACGAGATTAATGCCCAAAAAGTGAGAGAAATCTATTAACACGCATTGGGAGGAAATGGACTCGCTCAGTGAAGTTTTGGATATCTGTGTATGTAAATGGGAGTCAGCGAGTGTGAGACGCGGGGGTTCGACAAGGCTTAGCAACTGTGAAATCAAGCTGACAAGCCGAAGCATAATTTAAGGAACGGAACAACACACAGGTCTGCATGCACATTAATATTAAGATGCAATGGGATGCAATTAACAATTATTGTCAGTATCATTAAATCTGATTATTATTTTTCTTGATAAATCAGTTCAGCAAATGAAATGTCAAAATAATATCCCATTAAAATGTCTCAAGCTGACATTTTCAAATTTACAATGATTTATGACAAAGAAAAGCAGCAAATTCTGGATCTGGAAACAGCGCATGTTCGGCATTTATGCTTGTAAAAATTATTGAAATGCTTTATCGATTATCTAAATATTGCCAAATCTTTTTGACGGTCTGCTAATTTATTAATCATGTCAGCTCTACATTAGAGGACTATGAGATGATGAGTGTTTGGCTTATATTAGCAGCACTCTGAGAAATAGGACTCTGAATCCGGCTTAGTTTGAATGACACAATGTGGTAAAATGACATACAATTTTATGTTTCTCTCTGTATGTAAGATGTCAGGGCTCTCGTTCAGTCCTTTCTGATATGTAAACTGTGCATGAATGCAAAATTGAAGAAAGGTTGATTTTGAAGTTAATTTCTGCTATGGGACTTTCCATTGTATCTTTCTGTGCAGGACACCAAAATGTAACAACAATCATGTACTAAATCCAAAATTATAATTGTTTGGATATTCTCAAACATCTGAAAAACATTTAAACCTAACCAAAGCCTAAAACAGGGCTGACAATGATCTGTTTTTGTCATAGAAGTCATATTTTCACATTTTCTACCTATTTCTTCCATCTCGCTTCCCTTTGAATCTCTCTCTCTCTCTCTCTCACTCTCTCACTCTCACTATGGCGTCTGCAGCAGAGGATCTTCAGTTTCCAGCTGGGCCAGCTGTCTGCGCAGGCTGTTTACTTTGTTCTGAAGCTCCTTGTTGTATTCAATTATGTGTACCATTTCCTCGTAGGCTTCGTCCACACACCTCGAGGAGCGGTTCCAGCGTAGGAACACTCCTGTAATTGAAAAAGGGGGAGATTATTATTACAAGGAGGTGGTTTCTCTTATTCTCTAACTCTAACTTAGAGTCGTGTGTGTGTGTGTGTGTGTGTGTGTGTCAAAAGATCTCCAAAGTCAGTAGGATTCATCATCTTGGAACCATAAACATCTGCACCAAATGTGGTATGCAACAGGCTGGCTAAAAAAATGCAACCAGGATATCTTGACAATAAAACTGGCATGTTTAGGTACAGGCAATGGGAAAATTATAATACACAAATTATAATACACATTTAACAGTTGTTAAAGAATAGGAAACTATATAAATAAAACAAACCTTTTTATTATCATTACTAGTACTGTTGTTCCCCATCTCAACTGTTAACTGTCCAATTAATGCATGCAAGACATGGGATAAACTGGAACAACATAAATAGTTTTCTGTAGAAGCATTGAGATTAATAGATACATATAAAGGTTGCTGAGGTTACACAATCAGTTCTGACTGATCATAAGAACTGCAACCCTTCCTCTTCTGCACTTTCTGTGTGATGGTGGGTGGGGGACTTTGACAGAGCAGCTGAGGCACTGATACATTGGGAAATGTGACCACACGAGATGTGTTGCATGACTGGAATGTACAACACAATAAGGAGGTGACTCGTCCATCATAATGACAGTAAGAACGGCATAACTCACTTGTAAAACAGTAAAACGCTTTAAATTCACAGAAGTGATAAACCTAGAAAAAAAAACGCGTGCCTCTAAAGTAGCTGGAGGATTACAGTGTTCTAGCTTAGTAGGAGAAAATTACTTTCCTGGATGGCACATAAATATTATAAAAATACATTACTGAAAGGATTTAAGCATCTATGTCTCTGGATTACACAGTAAATACTAGGCAATAGAAAATAGAGCTATCAGTCCTTACGACACTGCTCTGCATTTTTACTAAAAAAACACGAAAACTCATAAAACTCAACTCCAAATCTAAACAAACGCAAACACAGCAACTCGTGTCACACATTTGTAGTCATATTTATCTCCTATATTCCCTTTGAAGTGATCTGCCTAGTTGAAGCAAGTGTGCCCTCAGAATGTACAGATATGCACTTCTATGGGGTCTTTTAAGTTGGGCCAGGAGTGCGTGTAATTTTCTATGAAGGGGTTGTGAAAGCAGGTTCTTTGTTGCATTTCACGTACTTCAGTAGTTCTCATACATACAGTAGCAGTTCAAAATGAGGGTGTGGGGCTTTTTAGGCTTTAGGCAGGAAAAGAGGGCCTCTCACACAGGATCGCCTGAACCTGATGACCCCGCATCTGTCTGGACCCCCCCCACAGGCTTTTCTTTATGAATGAGCTGATGCAACATCTAGCACGTTCAAGCATAGATTCCACTGGAACGTTTTTGGTGTCGCTGAGCCCAAAGTTATAGAAATATTAACTCAGTTCTTCTTAAACGACAAAACTGACTATCTCTGCTTAGAAAAGACAGCGGCCGATACAATCTCAGTCTCACCCTGTCGCTAAGAGAAAGAAAGAAAAGAAGAGCAGTATGCATTCACTTCACCCACACAAATTCTCTTAAGCATTATGGAACCATCACTGTATCGCTGCTCATTTAGTTTTCCACCATTTGGTCCTTTGAAATGTAACTTCAAAGTTAATTTCAAAGGAACAGGATGGAAGAATTAAAAGAATGAAAGCGTGCCACAGGACTAAGATTAGTGTGCATGTGACTGCAAACTGATAACTAGTAGTAAACCGTCACTGGCTCAGGTGTCAGGGAGGAGGATACGTTCTGTGCAACCTATAATAAGACAAACATGTAAGGCAAACACATCATTTGAGATGCCCGGGAAGCAATGTGAGCAATGCTGATAATGTGAAAGGTGCTGAAAGCCAAATGAGGGGGAAAAAAAGCTAAACGGCGACATACAGAGTTTGGCCTCTTTATGGTTCATAAGGTGGACATTCACTACTTAGATATGCATATATATACATATGCTCACTGTTTTATTATAGCTTGTTGTGTTTGTACTTTAAATATTAGTTAAAATACATATATACATTAAGTATTTCGATTCGATTGTTTATTATTTACTGAACGTTTATGTTACAAAGCCATTTATGTATGTGAATGTATATTTACGTCACATAATTTACTAGTGGCTCACAGGGTTACTGATTAGTTTATCAGTAGTGCAAATGGTGGAATCAATGGCGCCCCCTTCTGGTTACATTTCAGAGGGACTGAGCAAAAAAATCATAGATCACAAATGACTAATGCTATGGTAGCATACCTGTGGCTATGACAACAGATTTCCCACATATTGCTCACATCTCCTTTGGGTTTGTAATTAACCAGACTTGGTTTCAGTCCAACCCACAATATCATGTACACAGCAGGCAGGTTGATGTTGATGCACACAGAAGTAGGCTTTCTGTGTCAAACAAGAATATCAGGATTGCTATCAGTGGTGTAGCCTACTCCCAGTCTGCTTTGGCTTATATTCACCATTTAAACTAGTAAAATGTGCACTATTATGAATTTATGGAAATTAAATTTAGACAATGTACAACTGAGCAACAGTTTTATGGTAAGCAAACTCTAAGGCTCTTCTACCAACTGTTTAAACAAAAACAAAAAAAAAAGCTTATTAATTTATCTCAAACCTGTTTTAGTCCAAAGACCAATTGAGTTTGCTCCTGTTCTGTCGTCTTTTTTCACTGTGTTGCTAACGGTGTTTACACAGACCCACTGTGGCTGCTTTATTAAATTATATTTAACGTTGAGACAGTTGTTTCTTGCAGTGTGATACAACTGTAAAATGACTTTTGTCTTGTCTTAAATAGAATGACCTTCTAGGATCTATATCTATGTATAATTATAGCTAACAACTGATTGTTCCTTACCTTCCCACAGCAGCAGACTCTGGGGGGCCACGGAGGGCCAGATCACCAGACTGTTGGCCTCGTAGAGCGGGTTGGTCAGACGCTCCAGTTCTTGGGGCCGATTCACCCACGACCACAGGGATACAGTCTTCTCAGGCAGAGAGAGTCTAGTTCTTTGGAAAGAATAGAGGTTGCCTATAGCTTAAGAATGTGAAGGAAAGTCAAATTGTTTGCACAATGCTAAATGCACCAATGTTAAACAAAATCATTAAGCAGATGGCTAACATAAGCTGGTAGGCCAACCTCCACAAACTTACCTCTCAGATGTACTGTTGCCCAAGAAGGTGCCGAACTGAGAAGCATAAGCATGTTCGAAGAGCAGCACCAGGAAGCTCTCGCTGAATTCAAAGGAGCACGGAAATTGGCGAAGGATCTGCCACACACAGTCCAAGAAGAGTAGGAAGACAGGAGACTCTTGGCGAGGCTTGCTGTTGGAGTAGGCCGACTGGGCGCAGCGTTGCCGGAACGGGTGACCCGCCTGGGATAGAAGATCACAGATGTGAGAGGGGTCGTGAGGAGAAATGCAAAGAATACATCCATTATGACACTAAAATGCTTGCTGGACAGAATTAGTATTCCTTGATGGAAAAGTTTATGAACTTCAGGTTATGTGAGGTCATATATGTCTCTTTAACGTAATTTGTGCTTTAAATTTAAATACCAAACTATAATTAAAAACAAAATGTGGAGCTTTTAAAACAAGATCATTCTCAGTTATTTATTTGATCAAAGAGGTGAAAAAGATCTGGTCTGTGCTTTTAAAGTCAGGTAAGCTCACCTGGAGCCACTCCCGCTCCACCAGACCCTGGAAGCCTCTAATGGTCCTGCAGGCTGGATCAAGGATGATCTGAGCCAAGGAGGTGACCTGCAGGGTGGAGTCTGTCCCCTCTGTACCGTGAACCAGCACTGACGCTCCCTCCCTGACATCAACACACATGATTACAGTTTGTTACAGAGTGTCACATGCTACTCTACTGTCTGATATAATACAGAAAACTGATTTTATCAACTCAGTGTGTACAGAGCAGATGAAAAGTGAAGGTATTGCTTTTATTGTACAGCTTAGTATTGACTGGTCCAGGATTATTCTAACAAGCAAACTTTGTTCCCTGACCTGTCGATACACTGGGCAGCCAGGCAGGCAGTGGTGAGGATCTCTTTGACATGAGTCTGCCAGTTGGAAGCCTCTAGCTTGCTTAACCAGCGGTCCATACTGTGTGACTGGTCGTTACACGCCTCTACCAGCTTTATCAGGCTCTCCTGAAGGACGTTGGACCTGGAAACGACAGATTTGGTCACAACACCAAAAGAAATGTCTGAATATATCATAAATATTGTATATACATTTCCAGAATATGAATACACATTGAAAAACACATTTTTGACGCATGGTATCAGTATCACTTTCTACCCAAAGAGATTTCACAATATGCATGTTGAGAAAAAGAACATAAGAAAAACACAGTGCTCGTACCTTTCGAGTGCCTTGTGGATCCTCCTCCACTGGGGGTAGTTAGCCTCAGACTCAAATCCTCCACCTCGAGCTTTGGCCTGCTGTGCAACATTGATAGTGCGCGTGTCAATGATGTAGCCTCGTTTGCCTGGCCGCAGGGTGGCATTGATCAGCTTCTCGTCTTCCTTACACCGGCGCCCGTTGGTGCCAGTCAGAGGCTGCCCCGATCGCATCATCACCTGAAAGTGGATGGTGTTTTATTATGATACAATCCACCATTAGACGGACAATTTAAATACACAAAGAATATTTTGAAATGTAATCATATGAACTCCATTTCCCAGGTGCTCACCATGCCATTCTTCTTGTGGTAGTAACTAAGAACTGGAAAACGGCCACTGTGGCGGAAGGTCGCTGCTTTCCTCAGTGTGTCATCGTCAATATCTTTGGGCACTGCCACTAGAGGGGGGTATGATGGACACACACTGAAGTCCTTGTTGACGTCACTCAGTCTCCACTCGTCTGTCTGATAAAAGGGATGGGAACAGGTTAAAAGAGGGGTGTACAGCAGACGGCTGAGCGAAATGTCAGGTGTGAATGTTTTTGTCACTGATCATGTTCATACCATGGACTCCAAATCTTTAAAGGCATCCTCCGGAAGAAATGAATTCCAGCCATCTTCTATGACTTCAAACATGGGTCGGTAGAAGAAAGGGTACATCAAGGAGACTGAATCAAGCGTAGACAGAGCCTAGAGAGAAATAACGTATATGTGTCGGTTAATCAAATTGTAGAATTGTATTGTACAGTAAAAATATGGCAACTTTTAACATTGAAAACTTTTGCAGTGAAATGAGTGTTCTTCTTTATTTTTTATTTTTTTACCTCAATAGAGCTGGCAATGTTAAGACACTCCTCCATGCCAGGGATGTCGAGCTGGATCACTCTCAGGTCTTTGCATTTGACTATGATGCTTCCCAGAGACCCCACGAATCTGAAAGAGAAGTTAACGATTTTATTCAACTTGTACAGCACAGCAGGCACAATTACTGTCATGGGAAAGACACAAAGGTTCAATGCTGGCAAGGTTGCTTCACAGCGAGAATAGCCCTGAGAATACTCATTTGACTAGAGGCACAGGCCTCAGAGCTAGAGTGGGTCCGCAGGTGAGAATAGATATTTCTACAGTAAATCAGTAAAGTCTGCTTTAACTTATGACAGCTTCATTATCAAGTGGACTTGCTTGTAGCAAACTCACTAATGTGTTTTTATAGATTTGAACGCCTGTGGTGTAAACAGTCCCTTTAATGTGTTCTAATGTTCCAAAGTGTAATGCAGACCATGCACACTGCATACACAACGGTAAACAAATTATAAGCGGTTTCATGAACAAATTTGAGAAATTGGTAATCTGCTCATGTATCTCCTATTAGGCTGCAGAGTAGGGGACAGCACGGCTACAATTCCTCCTTACAGGTTTTATTTTTGAATTTATTCTTTCTTCCTTTCTTATGGTCTGCATGAAAAATGCAACAGAAAGTGCTGATTAAGAAATAAGGATACCAGGATAGAGCATTCGCGTGCAATCCTTAGTTTGTTTGTTTGTAATGTGTTTACGGCCCACATTTAATCCTTTATGCTGCTTTACTGCTCTGCGCCCTTCTCAACAACACAAAATACATTCTCAACCTGTGGGAAAAACTGTGGTGACAGCACACAGTCAGACTTGAACTTCCTGCCACAACCGTCAAAAACAAGAGTACTTAAAAAAGAAAAAAAAAAGAATGCCAGTGAAAACCAGCAAATCTGGGGCATGCAATGTGAAATGTAACCACAGTCAAACACAAAACCTCTTGTCCATTGTTACTGAAAATGATTTCATAAAATTCATAAATACATGTCCCGCTGATCTCTCTAGTTTCATGAAGAAGTGCAACGATGCAAAAATGCATTGCTCAATGTCCCCTTTTTCACGTGTCAGTCTTTTTAAACCACAACTAATGAAGCAACAATTTGACAGTGACATTACCAGCAAATCAATTCAGTAAAAAGGCTTAAAAGTCCCACAATAGTAAACAATAAGGAGCTCAATACCTCTTTTCTATAGAGTCAATGTTTGAGTGGAGCAGCCACAGCTCCTCTGTATTGTCCTGTCTGGAGGACAGAATCAGGTGATGGCCAGTCAAACACAGGGTCCCCTCCACAGTGGGCATGAAAGGCCGATGCAGGACAACCCCATCCACCCTGGGTGTCTTTATCAGTTCTGCAAACTCCATTAGCAGACCTGCAGCAGATACAGAGAGAGGGTGTGGGGCTTTTCAGTGCATATGGACACGATCACGTTACCACTACTAAGGCAGGCTAACTAAAGCTCTGCTCAGCTGCTTTGAAAAGAAACATATCGTATGAGTCGATGTCAATAAACATTAAGTTAGTAAATGCTGCAACAATCTACCAGCTGTCTAAAGCTAGCTTGAGTCAGGAAATGAAGTGGCTAACGTTAGCAAGCTAATGGTGACAGGTCGTACAACCTGTCCGTCATGTTTATATCTGAGGCAGCATATTACCGTTATACACACTGTGAATGAACAGAACAGAAACCCACGTTTGTCAGTGACGCTAACATGATTTATCATACAATTACCTGGTTGGCTTTTCTTTTAATTTGTTGTTTGACGAGACCGGTACGTCCGCAAAAACACGCCGGCTGGAAACAACGGACTTGCGAAATAAAAAAATCTTCATAAAAAAAGGGGAACATTCGCCTTGGGCTTTCCACTGGTTTTGAACATTAACGATACAGTCAGATCAAGTCACAATGCAGTTATTTCGTAATTGTACTTAAGTTAAAGTGGCTCTATTTTATGGTGGTTCTTCTCTTTAACATTTAATCTATAGTAGAACATAACTAGAGGGTCATTCAGGAGGTTGAGGTATGGAAACACTCACAACCCTTTTTCTCTGAAAGCCAAACACATTTAAACACAGTTTATCCTTTCATTCCGTTCATTACAAAAATAAAACCTCCACATTTCCTCCATGGCACATAAATATGTAATCTCTCCAACACATCTCCTATAATCCTGGGGAGTTAGGGACAGCATGGCTACAATTCCACCCAAACAGATTTATCCTCACGTTTTTGACGGGGTCTGCATGAAAATGGAACAGGAAGTACTGATTAGGTAAATAAGGATGCAAGAATACTACATTATGTTTGTTTGTTTGCTTGCTTGCTTGTGTTTTTTTTACGGCTCATGTTGCTTTACAGCTTCACACCCTTCTCAACAGCACAAAATAAAATCTCAACATGTGGGAAACCCATGAGCATTAGGACCAATTTATTTATTCATAATTCGAACATAGCAATAGTAAATTACTTTTTTCATTTATTCAAACCTTTATTTAAGCCTTTAAAACAACAAACCAAACACTGACACTGTAAAAGATAAAAGATAAAGTCAAAGCAACAATACATTTTACATGAAGCTTCAGTCTATGAATATGATGACTTATGGGGTCTTCATGAACTTACAGGGTAAAATTTCTTTAATGATTACTACGGTGATTGTTTTGGCCAGATTCTATTATTCTATCCATAGATGATATGACAAATACTGCCTACTAGTAAATGTGTGAACTACAAACAAAAACTGACTAGAATATCACTTAAAATGTCTTGTCATGAATAACAATGTGGTGCCCTCTGGTGGCACAGAGGTAAACTGCATAATGCAAGTCGTGAGTTGATACCTTTGACAGTATCTATATATTGATACATAGCATACATGTGCTGTTCTATCAGGTACTATAAGTTAATAAAACTCACCTCATTGTTGTTCCACTGGGTTCATTTAAGAGACTTTGATTAAACTTGCAGAGCAAGATTAGTCAGTAAACATTTGAGTTACCTCGATTATAAAATAAAAATTACATTCCTGCATAGACCAGGTGATGCATTTAAGGTCAGATGACAGATCATGGCTCTCTTGCCTTAGACTTTTCAACTCTCCTTCTCTAAACAAATGACGCCAGGATTAAGTTAACATATAAAATGCATCACCCCAGACAGACTAGTCCATCTGCTCCATGTGTCCTCCATCCTTCAGTCTCAGAAAGTGATTCTGGGGCGGTTAACATCAAAGACAGTAACCATCTGTGTTAGCTTGAGCCCCCTCTTCTAACCGTTTCTGCCTTTTACTTACTTACGTTCAAGTCTAACATGTCCCTGTGGTGCATTCAGGTAATAGGGTTGATATGATACATGATACCAAGGGGACTACAGTGATGAATAGAACAGATTAAGTCTAGTGTCTTCTCAATTTATTACAGCCAAAAAGCTTTAAGCTAGACCTTGAAATCTACAGCTGTTTGTGTGTGTGTGTGTGTATGTGTGTGTGTGTGTACAGTATGAGGTAGACTGAAATCTGATGGATATGGTTGCATCATGATGAGTAACCACCCGGTGTAATGGGCATGTGATCCAGATACATATCTGTCCTGAGGATGGTGCAGTCGGGTGATGCAGATGGATTGATATTGACTGATTGATTGATAGAGATACACAAGCCTTTCATTTTATTCAATGCATCACAAACAGATAGCATGACTTGTGATCTGTTTTAAACAAGAGCTGGAGCAAAATGATCTCATTAGAAAGCAATGGGTCAGGTGTGCACGTCACAGTGCTGTTGGCTCTAGGAGACAGTTAGTTCATCTGTGAATACTGATCTGGTTTTTAATTGAAGCAGTTTTTAATTAAAGGGATTTTGGCACTAATCAGAGACTAAGAGTGAATATGTTGAGTAAAACGTCCTGTGTCCTATGTTCAGTACAGAATCACACTTGTGTCTAATTGACAGAAGCACACTCTTTCTTTGTTGCTAATGAGGAGCTTGTCATGCTGTTTGCTATGAATGAAATGTCCTCCTCTCAACCTCCGTCAGCTCTGAATGACGACTTCATTATTCAGTGACGTCAGTGGTAAGGTGAACCAGTAGTTTATTTCTAGTACTCTAAGTACTGAGAGCCAACAGGGACAAAAGACTACTGGAGTCTTCAGCTGTCAGTGCAAGATCCTGGACTTACAGAGGCTCTGATCCATCCAACAGAGAGGCTGTTTATAAGGTTGCAGCAGTATACCGGTATGAAAATGATCATATTGTGTACATTTGCTTATATCAACGGTACTGAATTCCACTGAAGTAGTGTTATTCAAAAATACTGAATTCCGTATTAGTCTTATTAAAAAACTTCTACCTCAGCCCCAGCTGGTCCCAGGACCCACATCAAGGCCTAAATCATCTGTCCCAGGACGGATTATCAGACCTACTTCCTGTTTACCTACCTTGAATGCAAAGGTGTTGAGCAAGAGACAAATTCAAGGAAGTGCAGCTGCTGTCTAACCCTGTGAAAGGTCTGTGTCAGTCTGGTGTCAGGAGTTTCTGACACCAGACTGTGGTTTTACTTCAACAATGGATAAGCTATGTAGTCAGGTCTCATATTTGTTAAAAGTTCTGAATGCAGCAGGCCAACAAGGCCCTGGAAGCACTGGTGCAGAACTGCTCGTGTCCTCACCACTCTGCTGAATAATGGACTGAGGTAAGATCACAGTGGATGATCAGAATCTATGAATAAGTGTAGTACATCAGCATTCAAAGGAAATGAAATGAAACAAAGCTAATAGATTTGTTTGTCTTTGTTCTTCCTCAGCCACCTGAGCGCTGCAGTGAGAGCCTGCACAGCCCAGCAGCTTCACCTGCTGGCTGACGACTGGGGCAGCCGCAATCTTCACAGCAGGGAGGACCTTCACTCAGAGCTTCCTTACTGCGGTCAGTAAGGATGTCTCTGGACGCTGCCGCCGAAGTCAGGTCCGTTATCAAGATGTGCATTTAGTTCACAAGGTTCAGAACGGTATGATTTGATGTCGTCTGGTTTGTGTCTCCTGTGAGAAATTCTCTTTGTTCAATCTTGTGCTTTGTTCACTGAAGTGGCCCCGTGGACGTGTGATCCTCCAGGAACTGGCCCTTCACAGGGACTCTATGAAGCTGTGGAAAGACATCATGTTTCGTTTTAATGTAGCTGACAGTAAGATGCTTTGGTGTAAATGAACATAAAACAAAAACATGTATATAAAATAAACATTTATGCATAGAATTATGATTTTTGGGCTGGGTTTTGGTTTCTTTTTTTAAGTGGGGTCTCTGCTCCATCCAAGTGGGACAATAAACATGACTGTGAAAACTCTACACTATTAATACAATTATGACAAAATCTTAAAATGACATACGAACAACACCTGTTTACTTCACCAGGACTGCACTGACAAATCTTTTAATTAATATTTTACTTCTCAGCTTCAAAGAACTTGATAATTTATTCATAATTAATAAGTTAACAATTTAATAATGCAGGCATTTCTACAAAGACGTTCTGCAGTCTTATCACAGAAGACGGCTGGCTCTGATGAGCAAACACTCTAGTTGTTCATCAGTCACCAAAACAGAAAGAGAAAAGATTTTAACCAATGAAATGACACATACAATGCTATGCTGCCTGTAAATGGTTTGAATGGTGGTGATACCAGAAATTAACCGCTCCAGAGTTCACTTCACAGCAGGAGACCACCCCACCAAGACCAGAGAGCAGTTGTTTGGTTCGCACCAGACACCAACCCAAACTAAGTTCTAACTAAGCTGGTCTGGACCCGCTCTTAGATTCACACTTTTGTAACAAAATCTTTTTATTATTTTTCTGCATTATGGTTAAAATTGAGTACAGGAAAATGAAGATAGATGCAAAGTCCTGTGGATACTTATTTAGTCACAAGCTCAGTCTGTATACTCATGCAGCCTGCACTTTTAACATCTCATTTAAGTATAGTAATATTAGCTGTTAGACTTCATTCAGCTATTGTTCTGAATTGTGTAACCAGATTTCTAAGCAGATTTGATTGCTTCTCTCACCACACATATCAGTCCAGTATATACAGTAACAGCTGCAGACTGCTGGAGGAATGAACCTGATTGGATAACATTTTCAAAACTATATATTTCTGGACTTATTATTATTTCAAATCATACAGTGAAGTACATAGACCAGTTTGGAGTGGACGTCACGATTATGTCATTGCAGTTGTGTGGCGGCAGAAAAACTGTAGAAACAAACAAAAAAAGAAAAGTGCAATAAATAAAAAAATTTCTTGCTGTGCCGTTGAAACAGAGTCAACATCCAGAGTCCAAAGTCAGAACATTACTGCAAAGCATTGTGGTTTTAGCTGCTTAATGTAAGCTGATGTAGCTTGCTTGCTTGCTAATGTTGTTCCAAAAAGTTTCATCATTTGTCATTGCCTATAAACACAGTTTGTCATATTGTCATGTTTGTTATGTGTTAGTCATGGATCACTTTAGTATTTTGCTGGCAATAGGCTAGCAACTAACATCTGTCTGTCTTTGGAGCCTCATTCTTCAAGCTGATGTCTGACACCGAGCTGACAGTCAAACACATTGTTTAAAGGAACTAAATACAGTCTTTTCCTGAAGCCACTGCATTGTCAAACATTTTAAATTAGGATACAGGGATAGGTCTCAGCAGTAAACAAGACTATTTAGATTTCCACGCCTACCGAAGGCTGTGCAAACCGTTTTCACTGATTATGTGTCCAAACATGAACCCTCTGGAGATGGAGAGGATTATTAAAATCACACAGGTATTTATTTACTTATTCTTAATGAAAACCTATTTTG